TCTCTTTATCGAGCTCGACACTTTCTTACTCCAGATTCTATTCTCTATCTCTATAAATCTCAAATCCGTCCCTGTATGGAATACTGTTGCCACATCTGGGGCGGATCTTCTAATGATGCTCTTTCTCTTTTAGACAAGGTGCAAAAACGAATTGTAAACATAGTTGGACCTGCTCTGGCAGCCAATCTCCAACCTTTGTCACATCGTCGTAATGTTGCTTCTCTTTCTCTTTTCTACAAATACTATAATGGGCACTGCTCTAAAGAGCTAGCGTCCCTTGTGCCATCTACTAAAATTCATTCTCGTGTTACTCGCCATTCAATTAAGTCTCATCCTTTTTCTGTTACTGTTCCTAAGTGCTTCAAAAACTCTTATTCTTCTAGTTTTTTTCCTCAAACATCAGTTCTTTGGAATTCGCTTCCTTCATCTTGCTTTCCTGATTCATATAATTTGCAATCTTTTAAGTCATCAGTCAATCGTCATCTTGCTCTACAGATTTAGTCTTTTCTCTTCCAGTAACTTCCAACTCTTATAGTGGTTGCTTGCAGCCTTGTTGGAAGTGAAGATGTTAAAAAAAAAAAAAAAAATATATATATATATATATATATATATATATATATATATATATATATATATATATATATATATATATATATATATATATATATATATATATAGTGGATAATATTAATACCATATAATGTCTTATAATATTAAGGCATACAAATTCAAAGCAACCAAGTTAGATTTAACAATACAAAATGCCTGATTACCAATCTGACTAAAAAGTCAACAAAACTTCTTCAACTATGCAATCATGTTTTAGCATTTCTCACAAACTTATTTCACAAATCATTCTTTTATAAATTTAGAGAGAAAGAAATTATCTTTTATCTAAATGGTTATGTATGGAGCACATTTTATTGCAGAACTCGCAGCTCTTAGTTATGGCAGCACAAGTTAAGGACATAGTACAAGATATTTTTTTTTTTTTAAGTTGATATATGTGCCCCAAGAAGTCCTTACAGTCTTATCACAGAGCACTGCAGAAGAGCATTTAATAGAAAGTTCACGCCTCCTTCCCAACCGATGTCGCAAAACTTGCCTAGAGGTGGGGTTTGAACCACGGATCTTACGTTTCTGAGGCAAGTGCGCTACCACTGCACCACGGCTGCTCGATTTTTGTAAAAAAAAATTTTTTGTACTCAAATTGAATATCATTAACCAAAAAAAAAATTCTTTGATATCAAACTAACCATGAACTCATTTTGTATTTCTATATTTTATGTACTCAGTTTCTGGTCAACCAACAGTTTTCAACTGTTTTTTACAATTATTAGAAAAATAAGAAGAGTATGACCTTAGTGACCAGACTGTTTCTTACAACTATGATATTATTTTAACAAATGTTTTTACATAATTGTCATTCAAACTTTTAAGTAGTTTTTATAACGTTAGTAACTTTTATTATTTTACCATTTAAAAGTTTTGAATGGTAAAATAAAAGTAAATTTTTTTTTTAACTAATTTAAATACTAAAAAGTGATAAAAAGTCGCTTAAGCAAATTTGCTTAAAGCGTTCAGAAAATTGTTTATTGTGTATGTAAATTTGCCCTGTGTAATGCTTTAAAACAACTTTCTATTATAACATTCTATATGAATGCACTGGTAAATTTTGTAATGTTTAGATGTTAAGCTTATACATAGGTTTTGGTTTTGATTAAAAAAAAACCATGGTTAACCGTGGTATTTGGTTTTTCTTGTTATATAATAAAACTTATGTAAGTTTATATTGCATTATTTATTAACAAAAATTGAAACAAAGTTTTCTAACATTATGTTTATATTTCGAAATGAAACTTACAATGATTTATTTTTATTTAAAAAAAATTAAAGATAAATAAAGATTTTAGCAATTCATCAGATAATCGTGATCTGATTTTAGCAATTCATCAGATAATCGTGATCTGATTTTAGCAATTCATCAGATAATGGTGATCTGATTTTAGCAATTCATCCGATAATCGTGATCTGATTTTAGCAATTCATCAGATAATCGTGATCTGATTTTAGCAATTTATCAGATAATCGTGATCTGATTTTAGCAATTCATCAGATAATCGTGATCTGATTTTAGCAATTCATCAGATAATCGTGATCTGATTTTAGCAATTCATCAGATAATCACGTGATCTAATTTTTGTGCAAAAACTAGTGCATCTCAAAAAAATGCGTTCCACATCAATAAAATCTGTTGAGGTGGGTTTTATAGAGAGTATCGCATTGTAAATTTTTTCGAAATTTGCTGTTCTTTTGGCTGTATTTTGGTAAACTCTTGCTTAAGCCATTTCAATTGATCAGTATATTTAGGTAATTGTGTGATATCTTTATTGAGAAGTGGGCTTAATTCATCCTTAAGAGAAACAGGTGAACTTTCCGATGTTGTACATGGTACATTAGCTAGTAGTGGTTCCTAATCATTAGAAGTAAATCCAAAAAACCTAAATGCAAGTTTTCCAGTAAAATTTAGAGTATTTTTTAATGGAACAACTGATGAAACTTTTTGGCACCTAATCAATTGCATAACATTTCCATTAATTCTTTCATCGAAACGCTTTTTTAAATTTGAATGCAATAAAGATGCCATTTCTGTATTCATAGCAAATAGGTTTGCAAGCATGAATTCAAAAACAGTATCTGCTGTTGATAACAAGTGAATTACGACAATGACAAACATCGAGATGCAGTTTGATTTCTTTACCAAATTCCTCAGAACTTTTTTCTGAAAAATTTGATTACGAACCAATGACATTTTTATAAATTTCACTACTTTTTGTACTCTCATCAAAACTTCAGGATAGTCAACATTATTCTCATTGTTTACTGATTCAAAACTAAAATTATCATTATAAATTTCATGTTCATCCTCTTCTAAATCACTATCCGTTTCCTTGGGAACTGGTACATTTATGTCTTTATTTTATTGTCGCATACACCAAAATGATTTGCATGATTGAAGCAAAACTGATCAGCAATGTCCGTTAATTTCATGATGTTCTTGTTGATAGCTGTACCATCTTGAGTAGAACCTACTGCATCTCTATCCATACAGAAACCTAATAAATTCAAATGATCCTTAATATTGTGTATTAAATTTTCAGCTAGACACAAACCATAAATCCCAATGAGGCCAGTTTTATAGGTTTTTTTACATTCGCTTTCATGCAGCTTGACACCAATATATCCTCTGGGCCTCAAAGATTTGTATTCATCATGCATTAAGCTGAACTCATGTCCCATTTGAATTTTTTCAATAATTTCTTGTTTTATCGCTTCCTTTTTATCAGAAAAATCTTGATGGATTAAATTCATCAGTTTTTGAACTTTTAGGAAGATGATTTTCTCTTCGTTGAATCGATGAGCGAATATTTTTGTCATTAATTATCATATTAATCAAAACACTATCTGTAGCTAAATCAGCTATAATTTCTTTAAGGCTTGTTTTTTGTAAATAAGTATCCATGGTTTTAATTTTTTTATTCTGGTGGTGGATTTGAGCTGCTGCTTGATTCTCCAGGTGAAGAATTATTGATAGTTCTGGCATGACGCAAAATATGATTCCGTAAAGTAGTTGTGGATCCACCAGAACATGTTACAACAGAATTGTATCTATTACAGATGCCTTCAACATTTCTTGAATTCGGAATTTAACGCCAGGCTGCAAATTTCCAAACTGATGACATTATTTATCTGGAAGAAATATATTCAAAAAATTGAATAATTGATAGAAACATTATTGTGAGGTGATTTTATTACATACCTATATGTTAATATTTTGTAGAACCAAAATGAATAAAAAATTGTATTTTTTTAAGGAATAAAAATCTTTAATATAAAGAATAGGCTATCCTATTTGAGTATTCAAATACTTTATATTCAAATATATTTGCGTGTTTTATTCAATATTGGAACATTTTTTTTGGATTACTTGATTAATTTTGAAAATGAAAAGACATGTTAAGCTCTCCAGCAAAATACCATCTAAATAATAAAATACAAATTTGATGTTTTTATACCTTTTTATAATAAATAAACATTCAAAAGACCTTATACAAAAAAAACGCCAAAACTGTTTTTGAAAAGTGACGGTTTTCATTTATCTCAGTTTTGACAAAAAACCCGCAGTTATTGGTTAAAACCGATTGGAAACCCTATGGAAATATAATTTATTGGTTTAATTAATTTAGTTGATTTAAATTCAAATCATTATGTATTTTTTAATTTTGTGTTAATCTATTGGTTTAAATAATTTAGTTGATTTAAATTCAAATCATTTTGTAATTTTTAATTTTGTCTAAATATTTTGGTATTTTATAATTGTTTATATGATACTATTTATCTTTTTTGAGGAAATATTAACAAATTAAAAAGCAATTTAAGCTTGTGTGTATTTATTTTTTTTTTAATGTTAAATAAAATTTAAAACAGAAAATTTTATTTTAAAATAAACTTTAAAACGTTATTTTGACAAAAAAATGGTGTAAAAAATTTGCCCGAATAGTATTTTTTCTGGATTTTTTTCTGCTAAATAAAATTATAGTACAATTGATAACTAACAATGTTTTTTACAAATTTTATCCAGGTTGACCCCTAAAGTTGATCACACTATAATTCATTAACAATTTTTTTGCGATGAACAAAAATTGTGTGTTGATGAAGGAAAATTTATGTTTGATAGTCATTCTGATATAATAAAATTTTTTAATCTGCTAAATTTTTTGGTTTTTTAATTTTTTTAATTATTAATAATTTTTAATTTTTATATTTTAAATAACCTCACGTGTATATATATGTGTGTGTGTGTGTGTTTATGTGTGTGCGTGTGTGCATGTGTGTGTGTGTGTGTGTGTATACATATCAGGTCTTGAATATCATCACTTAGAAAATCTTTTTTTTTTTTAAATCATTTATTTGCTTTTTAATTTAGTCTTATTTTTTAGTGCTGGAAATGGATCCTTGACAAGTTAGTTTTTTTATTTTATTTTATTTATTTTCTCGGTCTGCTAAAAAATTATATCTATAGATATCTATTATTTATAAATATTATGTTATTTACTAATTTACTTACTGTTTACTTATTTACTTATTAATAATAATTTACTATTATAAGGTTTTTAATTTCAGCTAAAGTACTTTTTAAATTTAAATGTCTGAAAAACATCTTGAATGATTGTTTGTTTTTATTCTATTTTATATAAATATATATATATATATATATTACCTTCCTAAAGCCATAAAGGCCACTATATTCAGGGAGGCTACTTTTTAATACTTCATGAATGTTTAATTTAAATTGATTTTCATTGATTTTTTTGTTTTCTATAAAGTTAATTGTGAGATTCAAAAAATTGTTATTTTTTGATCATTGAAATGCAACAAGGGAAGTTAATGAAGACATGACCATAAAAACTTGTTTTTTAAAGACTCAGAATTATAAAATTTTTTAAAAAATAATTAAATAATTTAGCAAAGTTGAATATAAAAGTCTATATTCAAACGATGCTTTCATTGTAATAAATAAGATAAATTAGGAGTTGATTTTCAGCAAAGAGTGATTTGCATGGTCTTTTTTTCTAAGATTAACTTTAGAAATGTTTATTGGTTTTTAAAACTAAAGTTAAATGTCAACTTCTAAACATTAATATTTAGAAGTTGACATTTTAACTTTAGTTTTGGCTTGATGAATCTTTTGTAAGAAAATTTAATAAAGTAATAGATTTTTAATAAAAATAAATTTTGTAATAAATTTTGATATGTGAACATGATACTTTTGATGCTAAAAAAAAAGTGTTAACTTTAGCAAGGAAAATTAGAAGAAAAATAATTGAATAAAAGAATTAGTGTTTGGAATTTCTGGATTTTTATTAATTTATTATGGGGTAGTTTGAACAATTTAATTGTAATTGTTTCTGGCAACAAATCTTAATTCCGAATGATGCAATTATATTATCTACAAACACAAATGTTTACAAAATTTAAATATTAGGAAGTAGCTCAAAATGTAATGGTAAAAAGTACATTGACTGATATTTTAAAGTTGAAGTTTTTGTTTTGATCAAATTTCAATGACAAAAGGAGATTAATAAAACACCAGAACTGTTCATAATGCTGATTGTAAAAAATTTTCTTAATTTTCTTTAGTTGCTCAGAGCAAAATATCAGCATTTTGGTTTGAAGGTAAAGAATTAGCTTTTGCGTTTGGTTGCACATTGTCAGTTTCAAGGCTGGTAATTATTTTATGATTTCACTAAAACAATGTTTACTTATTTTTAATATTTGTTTTATAATTATGTTGTACTTTTTATTTTCTTAGGGTAGTGTTTTTAATTTTCTATTCACAGAATCTTTTGCAATGAAAAAGGGTTTAAATTGGACATTGTGGGGAG